TCATTGCTGTGTATCTGCAGCCTGTGAGGCCCTGCTGGGGCTGAGGGTTCCCATCCCTCTCTCCCAGCACGTGAGCTGCCCTGGTGACGGATGGCCCGTGGGCACCCAGTCGAGAAGGACACAGATGGTCAAAGCCATGAATCTGGGAGAGCTGGGAGCAGTGCCTGCTCCTGGCAAATCAGCATTTTCCTCATTTCACCTGTGAGGAGGAATAATTACTGAATTACAGGCTTAATGGGGAAAAAAATGACAAGTCTGTCAGCATTGCACGGGCAAGCGTTACAGAAAGAGCAGAGGATTTCCAGGGAAATCAAGGGGGAAATGGCAAATGCAGTTTTATGCAGGTGCTTTTAAATATGTACAAAACTCCACAGTGTTTAGATATTTCAGATAGCATTGTTTACATTTTCAGTCAAATCTCAGTACTGTGTATAGGACACGGGTGGGTCTGTAAATTAATGAATCTCTGTAGTCTTCTGCCTGAGCCCTGCTGGTGGAACACAGATTTCTTTTTGTGAAGTCTGAATAGGCATTGTCTACTGTATTGCTGCTATTAGTAGTGAAACTGCAAATTAAATTGGAGCATTTTGTGTTTACATTTTTTCTTGTGTAATCGATCATGAGTTCCACTGCTGATTTAAGGATTTCCTGTAAGAACCAAGATTTAATAAAAACTGATTATGATCCAGTTCAAATATTTTATGCTTGATAGAGGTGATTAAATTTCTCTTTGGTTTACAAAATGTCCCAGAAATGAGGGCTAGTCAGAAGAAGAAATTTTATAAAATAGTTAATCACATATTGTTGTGGCTTTAATTTTCATTTCCAGTGGAACTGCAATGCTCCTGTGTGTTCTGTAACCAAGGACTGCCAGTCTTTTCATCTCTCTTCTCTCTGTGCCATTGCATCCTATGGAACCCATTCCCCTAATGGGAATGCACTCATGGTGATGTTTTGGGTGGCGTGGCAGCTGAGCTGGAGCCAAGGGATTTGTTTGGGACAGGACAGTTGAACACTCTTCCTGTTAGGATTCCTACAGTTATCTTTGTACTGCTGAGGGAGTTGTAGGCTGTTCCTGAGACACCTTCTGCTCCCGTTTCCTCAGCTGCAAAGCAGGGGTGATGGTAGTTTACCAACTGGATTCCAATCTCAGCTTGCTGATACTTGTTTATTCTGCTTGAAACAATCAGCAAGTGAGAAAAATCGCAGCGTACTTACTTTAATGTCTTTATAGAGCAATAAAAAACTTCTTTAGAGACAGTTATTCTTTACAATCACTATTTATATTTCCTTAGACCTTTCATACAGTTTTAGGCCAAATTTCAATTTGCTACCTCTGTCTTCAGTATTTTGCAAGGTAGAAAATACTGCTTTTCTGACCTACCATCCTATAGCAATGATTTATTCATTTTGATAAACTGTAATTTCAAGCAGAGCTGAAGACAAAATTAATTTTACAGTTCACCAGATTCTGGGGAGGAAGAAAGACATTTGCCTTCAGTTGTATTAACACTGCTTCTTTCATGTATTAATATAAAATAAGATTAAATTCAATAGGGTGGTTTAGGTGACATTTTTTTCAGAAATCAGGTCAAGAATTCAATGTATATGACTTTAGAGGCTTTAAGACTCTGAAGAACAAAACATGGGAATTTCTTTTTGAAAAGAAACCTGCCTAAATATAAATTGAGCTTCTTTTACTATTTGTTAGGGTTATAGACAGCCATGTAGATAGCAGCTGTTCTTTGTGGGTTTTGCAGTCAGGTGAGATTGCCAAGAGATTGACTGAATTTGTTGGCAGCTGTTCAAAAGGCAAATGTCAGTTTTCCACTACTATTTGTAAAGCTGTAAACAGTTCCTTGTTCTGAAGATGTTCTTGGGAGAAGGAAAAGCACAAATGTGAAAATAGTGTAGAATGATAGCTTTATCCTGCAAGTGGGAGGGAGGGAATCCATGAGGTTCTGTTCTGTCTGTTGGGCCACTTCCAGCTCTTCAGATGCAGGCAGAAAAGTGGTTATTTCCAGTACACAGAAATAATTGTGTAGGTTGTAAGGTAAGAATCAGCCAGGGCTGATAGCAAACAGGAATAAAGCTCTTGAATAAGAATATATGCTTTTTTTCTGAAAATAAGATCTTTTCACAGAGGTTTCCTGGTATTACAAAGCCCTTGCCTGAATTTCTGTTTGGATGTCCTTCTACTGTTATGGAATATATTTTAGGTTAGTCTGTATAGAAACAAGAATATTTTCTTCAGGCATCAGGTTTCCAGTCATTTCCTGGTAGTGGGATTCAACTACAAAGATATTTTGTTATTAATAGGAAGTATCAGACTAGTGTGTAAAAATTAAATTTTTGTTTGTAGTCTCTTCCGTGGACAAATGGGACTCTAGAAAGTAAAGCAGCAGAAAGTGTCTTGTCCAAGAGCTAAAAAAAATTGTTTTTATTCTTTTGAGATGTTATTACTTTTAGACAAAGGAGTAAAAAATCCTCTGTGTGTGTAAATAAAATTGCACTGCTCTGTTTGTGTTGTTGCAGTTTATCCTGACTTGTGCACCATCAGTCTGGTGGCTGTTGGGGATATGAATAAACACGTGGACAAGCTGCTTTTCTGGGAAGATGTGTATGGCTTTGACATGTCTTGTATGAAGAAAGCTGTCATTCCAGAAGCTGTTGTGGAGGTGCTGGATCCAAACACACTGATATCTACAGCCAGTGTCATTAAGGTATATTGGCATTGGGCAGGTTACTTAATGCTTAGGAGGCAGGTGAGAATTTTCCTTGGTTTATGGAGGAGGGGCTAAAATTCACATGGCACACACAAACTTTGGCATTTATAAATTATAAAAGTGCGGTGAGGTTCTTGCTGCTAAGACTGGAAGGTTTGTATTAACTGCTTTTTTTTACCAACTTTGGAGCTTTTAGTAAGGTACTTTTCCCATATTCAGACTGTTCTGTTGTATGATTTCTTCTATCCAAAGCCAAATTTACTTTGGCAATGCTCTACTGGTAACAGTGCCTGCATATCCCTTTCTAATCCATGCTGTCGTGAGCAGTCACTGTCCAGCTCAGATGGAGGGGCTTATCCTTTGTCAGCATGTGGCATAACTGTTGTGCTGAATGGCTTTATAGTAATTTGTTCTCATTTAGCCCTTGTTGTTTTTAAAATAACTTAAAATCAATGCATGTGCTTGTTTGCTGGAGTTGCAGTACAAAGTAGTAAAATTAATGAGTTGAGGAACAGTGGCATTATAGATAAATTGTTTTAATCAACAGCTATCCCACAGAACAAATGGATTATATTTTGTAGGGAAAGTTTAAAAATGTTCCCATTCATCATTATGATTATTACAGAAGGCGTTTTGGTGTGTTTGCTCACATCAGGTGCTGCTTATTCTATATAGTTCATAATGTAACTTTTCAAGAAGCAAAACATTCCCTAAAGAAAGACAGGGCAGTGTGAAAATTGATTTGAGTGTGTGAGGAAGAGGAGTTTCAGGTGCTCTGTCACATGGGATTAGGTAGTTGTTTAGTCTCTTCCTGTTTTTTGGAAAGCTGAAATAGTATTGCCTTATAGAAATTGTCTCATAATGAGAACAACTGAACAGCCTTAGTCTAAAGGGAGATCTTAATTGCCATTCCTCACCTTTACTGACAGAATTTTATTATCCTTTCTGACAGCATATTGACTGCAATACTGCATCCACTCCAGACTTGGAATTCTCTTCAGATTTCACCCTGAGCATTACAATGAGCACACAGTGTACGGTAAGACAATTTCCGTTTCTTCATCCATGGCTGGTACTGCACTGGACTAAGAGACAATCCATTAATTATCCTTCATTTATCATCAGTCCTTGCCTTGAAACATTCATTTCTGCAGTACAGAGGTGTCAGATGAGCGCTTTCTAAAGAGAGATGGATGTAAAACTGCAGTAATGGTGTTATGGGGCAGTGCAGGTAGGTGAGCAAAGGGGAGGGGAAGGAGCACTGGGATCTTTCTGTTCTCTGGCCCATCTTCTGAAATACAAGAAAGTCTGGTGTTGGCTTGCCTAACTAATGCATTGAGCTTTCAAACATTACATTATAAGCAAAGACAGGATGGCCTAATTTCACGGTAATTTTCTTTTATATGCAATACAAATTCTAAATGCTTTCTAATAATTTATTAAAATTCCATCATCAAATTTGACAAAAGAGCATTACGCTCTGAAATCATGAGTAGAAACTGAAATTTTTGCCCTCTGGAGTATTGTGAAACCTCTGGGAGATGTGCTTAAGTCACATCACAAAATCAAGTGTAAAGGGGTAATTTTTAACTTAGTTCTAATATATTGAGATAATTCTGCTACAGCTGGTTTATTGGGATTTTGCGTGAGTATACAAAGAGGAGCTGCAGGCTTCCTCTGACATGGACACCAAGAATGTGTTTCTGTATGATAGAAGCTGCTTGGGGTGATGACAAACTCTTGGATGCCTGCATCAGGCAATGCCATTCCTGGTTTGGATGTCAGGTCATGCTGCTGCATTTGCAAACATTTTTGCAGAGTAGCAGTCTGCATAAGAGCTTGTTGGTGTCAAAAAGCGGAATTTTCCCATGTATACAGTTGAAATCATTATCATTTTTAATTAGTAGCTGTGTACAAATAATTCATATTTACTTGTCAGTTATCACCAAATTGGGTGAATACACAATAACACTTTTGAGTTTATTAAATGGAAGTCTGTATATTTTACTGTGCATACAAATGGAACCCCTCCTGTTTCATGTATCATAGGATAAATCTAGTTGCCTCAGGGCAGAGTCAGATTTGAGATCAAGCTCCACTGCAGCCCTGGTTTAATTTTATTAATTTGGCCATATTTGAATAACTGATTAAACAGGAATCTTTACAAAATTTTGGTCATCTTTCTGATGTTTGGGTAAAGTAAAATAGCTTATTTTATAAACATTGTTTTCCCCAGCACTAAGCTCTTACAAAAACTTCATTTCTGCTCTGTGATTCTGTGGCATCATTGGCATATAAATCAAGATGTGTACCTGCATTTTATGACTTCCAAGAAGAAGGGGAGGGAAGTGGGGTAAGAGCAGTGCTTCTGAAATTTTGCAGCAAATGCAGCTTCTAAAAAATGATCAGAATGCTGTAAAGTATTTTGCACTTCATCATTTAGGTTTATTGACACTTGGAGTGAAATTTCCACAGTTTCTATGATGGATTGTAGAAGTTTAGTTGAAGGTTGACAGTTCATCCATCATATCAGCCTGCCTAACCTTGCAGTAAATGAACAATAAAAGTCCATTATTTATGTCGAAATTTTTGAGGAGATGCTTTAAGATTGCAATTTGCCCTTTAAAAATAATATTTGATGTTTTTCTTGTTTGCATATGTTTTGTTGTTCTACTGGCTTTTCATTTTCTGCACAAAAAGCGAAAGTTGCTTACGTTTCCCAAAATTCTAGGGTTTGGTACTTGTCTCTTGGATTTTTTCAGGGTTTTTTTAAATATGAAGATTTTAAAATATCTTTGCTTTATTTACAAAAAATACTCCACAAAAATAGCAGTTTGTAAATCCTTCTTTATATGCTTGCATGTGATTTCAAAGCAGCTTTTCCTCAGCCATGCAAGTGTGGAAGCAGATTTGGTTCTCTTATTCCTGATCTTGCCATCAACATTGCTGATAGCAGAGCAATTTTACCATCAGAACTAGGGCTGTCTGTTGAATAATCTGTCCTTAGAAACAGGCAAATCATTATCATTTTTATTTAGTAGGTGTGTACAAATACTTCATATTTACTTGTCAGTTATCACTAAATTAGGTGAATACACAGTAGTATTTTTGGGTTTATTAAATGGAAGTCTATATTAGACAGCTTTTAAGACATCTTTTTAGGCATCCTTTTAAGACATCTTTACAGACATTTTTTGTCATCAAAAGATGACCAAGGCAGATGTAGGGGCACATGTTATTTGGGGTACGTGTCCTGTAGGGTTCTGTTGTTTGTTCTGGGGACCCTCCTGCAGAGCAGCTGGGGGTTTGCAGTGTCCCTGGCTGTGTGGGTGCTTTCCCTGCTCCCTGCCATGCCCTGTGTGCATGCAGAGCAGTGTGAGGCAGACATTGCTGCTCTGGTGTGTCAGCAGCATGGGGGGCACAGCTGCTCTCACTGAACTGGGGTTTGCAGAGGCTTTGCACTGGTGGGGAGTCATTCAGCAGGCAGGCAGAGAAAAGGCTGTGGGCTCCTCTGCTTGGAGTGTGCAGCGTAACAGTTGAATAGCTAAACTCTCAGCTGGCATCTCTAGAAATATCAGCCTTATCAGGGTCTGCTGCTTCCTCCTGCAGCCTGTTGGTCTGTCTTTGCTAACAGGACAGAATGCTGGAAAGGCTGACTGGAGTCAGAGCCACAACTGCAGTTTGTTAGCAGCTCAGCACCACACTGGCTTTGGTCATGGCTTGGAACACTCCCAGGATCCCTCGGGCAGGAGAGGCTGCCCTTCATGGTTGTGTGGCAAAGCCATGGAATGCTTTGGCTTGGAAGGGATCCTGAAGATTGCCTGGTTCCACCCCTGCCATGGCCAAGGGCTGCCACCCTGGATCAGGTGGCTCCAAGCGTCACCCAGCCTGGCCTGGAACAATTGCAGGGCTGGGGCATCCTGTGCTGGGCCTCACTCTCTTCACAGTCAGAATTTCCCCTAATCCCAGCTCTGAATCTCTCCTCTTTTAGTTCAAAACCATTCCCCCTTGCCCTGTCACTATCTGCCCATGTAAAACAATGCTCAGTTCCTCTAAAATCTGTCCTTAGTTTTCCTCAGCTGTTTTCTGGGTCTGGATGAAATGGGCTAAGGACATGAATGCCCAGCCATCGTGGTGAGCTTGTGTAAAATAGAGAAGCTGTGCAGTTCACAAAACCAAGAGCATAACATTGACACATATGATTTGTTTGTCCTTCCACCTATTTGAAACTACTCTCATACTTCTGTGTGACCAAAAAACCCCCTAGCAGAGTACTAGGTCATGCTCAACAGAGATTAATCTCATGTCTTACTGTAGGTGCATCTTGAGTGTATTTCAGATGCTCCTGTAATACATTGAGTCATAGCCTTAAAAAATTAAGGCTCTAAATAGTTTTTTTTTCTTCCAGATGTTCAAGTAATTAAATAAGTCTTCCCAAAAAATTCTAATACACATAAGAAATAAAAAATTATTGAGCAAAAAGAAACATTCTAAGTATGATCTTTTATGTGCTGGTTAGTGTTTTAGAAGTTTTGAGACAGGGTGGTGAGGTAGTTAGTGCTTTTTTTCTGAGAATATATTGCTTCTGTTAATTTTTTTCTTCATTCCTGCATGCTTTGCCACAAAGAAGCATTTTGTAGCATTACTTTTATATATGATTATCTTAGCTTTCAAAGATTAAAGGTTTTCAAAGTGTGAAATGGTTGCATGGAATAATTGAAATTGTTCCAAAGTACTTTTATTGCAAGTTGACTTGATTTTGGTCCTACAAAGATAATAGCAGAAAAAACCCCATCAATTAGCCTGCAGAAGTGCATTTTCCTAATAAAGAGCTAGAGTTTGTCACTGTTGATTTTAATGAGACATCTGGCTAATATCAGTTACTTGATGCTGCTAGAAAAATACTCCATTAATTGTATTCTGAGTTGATCACTGTGTGAGCTTTTGAGATAAAATATAATGGTGATTACCCTCAGTACAGAAATCAATTGACAAACTTTCTCTTTTGTTTGCAAGCATTTCCCCTGGGAGTCCATCAAGGTTGATCTTTCCTAGCTGAATAGCAATATCCCCTGAGAGGAAAATGGCAGTATCTCTTCATTGCTCCCAGGAGATTTTGTCAAAGAGCAGGGTATGTGTGTATAAAAAGTGGGAGGGAGGAAGGGGCTGAAGGAAGGATAATGAACTAGAGGACGTGACTGATGTGTTAAAACCTTCAAGAGGAAAAAGGAAGTTGAGTTGACTAGAGAAAATAATTCTGACTAAGGAAAAAAAATCTTAAGTGTTTGGCAGTTTCATTTCTTAATATCAGGTCTTCCATTTGGGACCCTACTAGAAGTATTACCATATGAATCTTTGGTTCCAACCTTAGGTGAGAAACTAAATTTATTAAGCTAAGGTTGGAAATTGGTGTGGGTACCACAGTTAAATCCACCTTGAGTGCCTGATTTCTGAGTAAAGGAAATACTGCTCTACCATGTTACAAAGCAGGTTTTATCCTTCTCATCTCTTTACTTTCTCTGCAGTGACATCCAGATTATTAATCTTTAAAGCACAAAATTGCTGGGTTTTAATTGCCAGGGGTTTCTTTTCCCCGTGATAAAAGCGCAGCAGCTCTGCTGCATGGATGACAAACATTCCATCTCCATGCTTGGATAAACTCCATCAAAAGCACATTATCTCCCACTTCTGTGGCCAGCTGTCTAATTGTATTTGTTGTAGCCACTCACTGTTGGAACATGATACTGGTGAGGAGCAAGAATGATAAATTACTCACTGTAGGTGATAGTGATGATGATAATTTTTAATTTCCTTGTTCCTAAGTGAATTGGTAAGGCTGCCTTTGAGTTCTCGTAAGAAAAGGAGCAGTCTCATTTGTTTTGTCCTGTTAAAATGCTGCATGTACAGCCAGCCATTTTCTTGAGGAAAAAAGCCTTAGTATTCAGATGTATTTGAATTAAAATTTAGATTTTTCTTTGCATTTCAGCTAAAGGCTCTGAGTTGAAGATTGTAAATAATGCATACTCATTTACTGTATGTTAAAGCTTTTTCTGGTTTTATTATATTTGGCACATGTTACGTGAATAAATGGGGAGAAAAATAGTCTTGAAATCATTTCTTTGAGAGAGAAGAAAACCAGTGTGAAGACAAGTGAATCTTACTGGGAGGGCCTGCTTAAATTACAGGTTTGTCATGTGTTTGCATGGACACTTTAGAAACCCTCAGTAATGAATGAAGACCTTAAGCTACGTGAACTCTTCATCAAAATGGTGGCTTGACAAAATCAAGCAGCAGTTTGTGGCTGCTATTTTACTTTGAGGAATATTTTATTCCTAGCTTTTGAACTCTTTGTTGACCTTTGTAGGATGTTGCTCTGCGGCCTCAGTAATGTATAATGTATATATATTAATGTACATCTAATCCTTAATGTTTCCTTCATTCCTTATTTGGCCATCTTAGTTCCTGGCTAAATACATTGGCTTTGTTTTGGAGTTTTTGTCCTCATAGCTTGCCTTTTCTCCTGGCAAGTTATTTGAGAACAGGAAGAATAATATTTTGGTAGTGTTTTCTGATATTTACTGTCCTTTGAGGCTCGAGCATGTGTCAGGCTGGAGTTGTAATTATTTATTACCAGTTTAGAAGTCATTTTTTTGTTTTCCTCTTTCATGGTATTCAGGAGACTGGCACTTGAAAGATTTTTCCAAAGAAGGTTTAAATTCTTACTGATAGTTGTAGGTGAAGTTGTAAATGAGCTGTCACAGGTGTCACAAAAAGATGAGAGAAATTGCAGTAGGAGAAAAAACAGCTATCATTCTGCTTAAAAAAAATAAAAAACAAGAGGAAAAAGAATCCAAGGCAGTAGATGTAAAGCATCATTTATGGAGAAGTTATTTTTCTTTAGCTTGACTTTTAAAAAAGATGTTTAGTTTGACTTGTAAAAAAGATGTTTAATGAAAGTCTGGCCAGCCCTATATTTCATTTTAATATGCATGTGTCTGTGATTGCTTCTAAGGTGATTTTTTTTTTCCTTATATTTTGCTGCATGTGATAAATTGCACAACAAGAGGGGAGGACTGACTCTTACTTCAAGTAGCAGATATTGGAAATCTCTTTCTTTGTAGTATTGCATATGTAATAGATGCTTGTGATTATTATAGCTGCTGTAATTTGGGATACTGTTCAAAAGTCAATGAAAGGAAAATATTTTGAACTTTTTCAGAAGTATTTCTCTGAAATGCACTTAAACATAAAAGATACATAATTGTACATTTCAACATGAACATCAACAAGTTACAGAAAGAAAGAAGGGAAGGTATAAATTCCTTAAAAGAAGATAGTAAGCAAACCCACAATATTGTAGCTAGTTTTTTGTTATCAAGTATTTCAGCTTTGGTTTGTGTCAGTTTTTAGCAACACATCAGTTTCTGAAGTGGTGCAGGGTTTACATAGCACAGCTTGAGAGTGGCAGTGATAGTTTTGGTTTAGGGGTTTTTGGACTCCCTGTGATGCTATCAGATTTTAGTTTTGCACAGCTCTCTCAGGGAAGGCTGAGCCATTGGCTCAGTTGGTCAGAGCACAGTGCTCACAATGCCAGGGTTGAGGCGTTAATCCCACCTGGGCCATGAGCTCAGTGATCCTTGGGAGTCCCTTGCAACCCAGAATATTCTGTGACTCCCACTGCTTTGTGTAAAAGCAGAAATTCTAATGGTTTGCATCAAGCTTTTTGCAGAACGCTGAGAGGACAAATAATTAGAGCTGTGTTGTGCCTCTGTGCCCTTTGATGCTTTTCTGGAGGCATACATAGAATTCTTTAATTAGAAAAGACCTTCAAGATGATTGAGTCCAACCTGTAACCCAGCACTTCTGAGTGCAGCCCTAATCCATGTCCCCAGGTGCCACATTGACATGACTTCAGTCCCTCCAGGGATGGTGCCTCCACTGCCCAGTTTGAACTGAGAAACTTCTGAGGAATTCCCAGAGCTGTTCACAGGAGCATATCCTCAGGAACTTGAGCAATAATATTTTTCTATTTTTGGTTTCTTCAGGCTCAACAAATATTTCAGTGTTCAATATTGAAGGACATCTATCCATTTTAGAACATAACAAGAAGAAATTAATGGGTCAATGTAGAGCTCTTGTTCTCTGTAATCCCTGGAGCTCTGATTAAGGTGATTTTTGTGATGTGTAATAATTATTATTAGTACTCTGGATTAGCTATTCGGAGTCAGTATTTCGGGTTGTTTCAGATGGGGAAACCACTGATACTGTAAAGAGTGAAATAGTTATTTATCTAGTAATTTACAAAAGGTACAAATCCTGTTTCCCTTAACACAGCAGAGGCAGCAGGGAACATTTTCTTTGCTTGTAACTTTTCAACCTGAACTTGACCCCAGAAAATATTCTCTGGAGCCTTTTCTCAGGGTAGCACGTAGGGTGTTTCTGTCACCTCTTGTTATCAAGTGTATGGATATTTACATCCACCTTGGCTAGGTCTGTCTGCTGGAGCTCTTGGCTTTTTGATCCAAGATGTAGCTGGATTGGCTCATTTTCTCTGGAAGCCAGATTTATTTTTTTTTCTCCTTGATTTGTTTTTGGTGTCACAACTTTGTTCTCCTGCAGTAATCACATCCTAATTCTTATTTGTAAGTATACCAGCAGTATTGAGCTGATGGTTGAAAAATATTTTCTATGACTTGCTAGATCTCTGACTAATGTCCAGAAAAGATTGTGCATCAATAAAAGTAGTCTGATGGGTCAATAGAACTTTGTCAAAACCTTCTCAGTCTTTACTCAAAAGGCATATTAGAGACAAGGCTTTAATTCACTTAGGAATGAGATTCTCAGAGTGAGTGATAGGACTTTACTGAAGGGCAGGAAGAGTTGCTCTTTCCACTGTCTGGTGCTCATTTGTCATGGAGAGCTCTCAGTGTCTCCATGGCTTGTTTTGTATTTTAATCCTTTAGCCACATTGGAGTTTGGAACTTGCCAGGCTTGTCTGGAGTGCCCATTGTTGAAAAGCAGCTACTTTAGCACAGTTTTACTGGTTTAATGTATTTAATTCTTCATTGTGTTGGCAACATCTGCTTTGGATTTAGACTAGAGAGGAAAAATACCAGAATGACTTCTTCATATTATATATTATATAGTGATAAAACCCTATTCCCTAATTCTGTAAACATGTTTTACTTTTTTTCCCATCACTATGTTGTGTGAATCTGTATGAAGGGTGTGCTATAGAAACTGTCCTTTTTAGCTCTTCAGAACAAGCAGTTTCCTGGTGCTGGCCTAGGAGAAGAGCCTTGGTGCAGTGAGAGAGAGGTTCCAGTGGGTTGTTGGCAGTGAGTTTTCATGGGACAGGCTGGCCATCATTGCACTGGTGCATCCTTCCTTTGGATGTTGTT